ACCGCGCATGCTTTTATACACCCACCGGTGAGCGTCCTCACACAGGGCATTGTCCCACCGGGACACTATAACATTACCACCCACCGGTGAAGCTTACTTCACACAGGGCATAATCCATGAATATAGACAATCAATCATCAACGAAGAGAGGAATACTATCATTATCAATAGTTGAACCATCGAATCAATTTGAATTGTTGCAATGAAATCATTCAATGATATCGAAGGTATAAAACTGAAATAAACAACATTAGGATAGCAATGATTAACCAATCAACAATGAGTCCATGCATGAGGTGAATCAAATAGGAATATTATGAAAATGATAAGATATACAATTAGCATGGGAAACTAACTCGCAGGAATTTCAAGAAAGTAATCAATCGAACTCTCAAAGACTTGAGAGGAAACAATGAAAGGTTACCTACCGATTATGTCGGGATCCTCTCGGAGCCAACGAATGAATCCAAGATTCTCTGTCCTATATATACATGTATACCCACATGAGATTCTAGACACTATGTCTTTTAAAATTTTAACTTAAAACTTATTTCATGGTATAAGCTACACCCTAGATGATTGCATCTAATATCTCTAATATGCACAGCAACACAAGTAGTGTACATGCAACAGATTTAGGTGAATGAATGGTATAATAATTGATGTCCAAAATGCATGAAACTAGTCCCAAACGACTCCATTATGAGTCTAATTTCAAAATATAAAACTTTTACATCAATGCATGGTGTATAGTAAGAGTTATGCTCTCAGCAAACTACACATATCATAAAACTTTTACATCAATGCATGGTGTATAGTAAGAGTTATGCTCTCAGCAAACTACACATATCAAAACTGTAGCAGAAAAACATAGGTTACTATCTGAAATGAATAATTCACTTCGGGTACTTAACACTATACAAATGAGCTCATATTTGGTATATAAGTGATATGATGGGTTAGATTCCAAGTCCAATTAGTTTCATCAAACTTTTAATTTTATAATGCATGTTACATGCAAAACAACACAAGGGGGTAGACTGGAATTGCCAGTACATATACTAGGTATTAGAACTAGGTTTAAACTTATCAAACGTTACTCAAATTAATTAAAACTCACATAAACAGAAAAACAATTGAGTCTAGTTTTAGGAATAGAAAGAATTTTATGCACGCATTGTATATGTTGAGATATATGCTCTTTACAAAGGATATAACTCAGGCAGACAGTTTCAGACACATGCACCGAGTTAAACTATATTTTCAAACAAGTAAATTAACTCAGAATTAAACAAACAGGGTCTCAAATGAAAGCCAAGAAAGTGTAGTTTCTATAACAGAAAGAATTTCATGCATGCATGGTATATGTTAAGATATATGCTTTTTACAAAGGACATAACTCAAGCAGACAGTTTCAGACACATGCACTGAGTTAAACCATACTTTCAAACTAGTAAATGATTTTAGAATTAAACAAAAAGGGTCTCAAATGAAAGACATGGAAGTGTAGTTTCTAGAACAGAAAGAATTTCTTCATTTGGATATATACAAAGAAAGTTATGATCTGTTTACTGGTAGTGTATCTTGCTGAAAATTTCTGCACGAAATTCTGTTTCAAGATAAATTTGACATGCATTCCCTAAAATGTTACATGCAAGACCACAAGTGTAATATAACTACAATTATTGATTTAATTCAGTTCTAAATGATAGAATGAAAGTTTTTTTTTAGAGATTATACCTTAGAATACTCTTTCCTCCCTTTCCAAGCTTCAATGAACCCCTTCTTGACTATCCTTGAGCTCCCTCTTCTTCTTCAAGGTAAGCAAGGGTTTAGGGTGAAAAAAAAAAGAATGAGGAAGAGGATATAGAGGAGGGTTGCTGCTGGCCAGATATAGAGTGAAAGAGAGAGAGATATGATAGGATTCTCTTGGAAGAGTAAGAGATGTGAAAGGTTGAGTGGTTGACTAGCTTTTTCCCCATGCACTAATCTCTTGCAATAATGAGTTTTTGAGGGTTTAAAATGTAAAATACTCCCACTAACATGGCTGACCAAAATTAAACAATTATGTTAATTAGAGTGTTCAAATTAGGTATTTAATAATTTAGTTATCTCTAATCAAGGTTTAAAGCATGGTTAACTTAGGTATATATATATCCAAACGACTCCATTATGAGTTTTTGAGGGTTTAGGGTGAAAATACTCCATATCTAATATAATTTAATTCACCAAGATACACTATCAGTAAACAGATCATAACTTCCTTTGTATATATCCAAATGAAAAAATTCTTTCTGTTCTAGAAACTACACTTTCGTGGATTTCATTTGAGACCCTGTTTGTTTAATTTTGAGATCATTTACTTGTTTGAAAATATAGTTTAACTCAGTGCATGTGTCTGAAACTGTCTGCCTGAGTTATTACTTGTTTGAAAATATAGTTTAACTCAGTGCATGTGTCTGAAACTGTCTGCCTGAGTTATATCCTTTGTAAAGAGCATATATCTCAACATATACTCAGTGCATGTGTCTGAAACTGTCTGCCTGAGTTATATCCTTTGTAAAGAGCATATATCTCAACATATACAATACGTGCATAAAATTCTTTCTATTCCTAAAACTAGACTCAATTGTCTTTCTGTTGATGTGAGTTTTAATTAATTTTGAGTAACGTTTGATAAGTCTAAACCTAGTTCTAATACCTAGTATATGTACTGGCAATTCCAGTCTACCCCTTTGTATTGTTTTGCATGTAACATGCATTATAAAATTAAAAGTTTGATGAAACTAATTGGACTTAGAATCTAACCCATCATATCACTTATATACCAAATATGAGCTCATTTGTATAGTGTTAAGTACCCGAAGTGAATTATTCATTTCAGATAGTAACATGTTTTTCTGCTACAGTTTTGATATGTGTAGTTTGCTGAGAGCATAACTCTTACTATACATCATGCATTGATGTAAAAGTTTTATATTCTAAAATTAGACTCATAATGGAGTCGTTTGGGACTAGTTTCATGTATTTTGGACATCAATTGTTATACCATCCATTCACCTAAATCTGTTGCATGTACACTACGTATGTTGTTGTGCATATTAGAGATATTAGATGCAATCATCTAGGGTGTAGCTTATACCATGAAATAAGTTTTTAAGTTAAAATTTTAAAAGACATAGTGTCTAGAATCTCATGTGGGTATATATATATAGGACAGAGAATCTTGGATCCATTCGTTGGCCGAGAGGATCCCGGCATAATCGGTAGGTAACCTTTTATTGTTTCCTCTCAAGTCTTTGAGAGTTCGATTGATTACTCTCTTGAAGTTCCTGCGAGTTAGTTTCTCATGCTAATTGTATGTCTTATCACTTTCATAATATTCCTATTTGATTCACCTCATGCATGGGCTCGTTGTTGATTGGTTAATCATTGCTATCCTAATGTTGTTTATTTCAGTTTTATACCTTCGATATCCTTGAATGATATCATTGCAACAATTCGAATTGATTTGATGGTTCAACTATTGATAATGATAGTATTCCTCTCTTTGTTGATGATTGATTGTTTATATTCATGGATTATGCCCTGTGTGAAGTAAGCTTCACCGGTGGGTGGTAATGTTATAGTGTCCCGGTGGAACAATGCCCTGTGTGAGGATGCTGATCGGTGGGTGTATAAAGACATGCGCGGTTTATTGATTATCCTATGATTGGAGAGTTTGGAATCCTGAATATTAGACCTTGATTATTCATCTTTACATGTTATTTCACTTCGGTCAATGATTACGATATAAGAATGGCAACTTAATGTTGAGACCCCGTTGTTCAAGTTTGATATCTATGTCTATCATTTTCATTCGTTCCCTTGGATTGTACCCGAGATTTTTATGGTTACCTATTAGGCCTTAGGCTCACCCCTATTGTTTCTGAATCCACTCGCAGGCAGCCATGTTAGTGGGAGTATTTTACATTTTAAACCCTCAAAAACTCATTATTGCAAGAGATTAGTGCATGGGGAAAATGCTAGTCAACCACTCAACCTTTCACATCTCTTACTCTTCCAAGAGAATCCTATCATCTCTCTCTCTTTCACTCTATATCTGGCCAGCAGCAACCATCCTCTATATCCTCTTCCTCATTCATTTTTTTTCACCCTAAACTCTTGCTTACCTTGAAGAAGAAGAAGAGGGAGCTCAAGGATAGTCAAGAAGGGGTTCATTGAAGCTCGGTCAATGATTACGATATAAGAATGGCAACTTAATGTTGAGACCCCGTTGTTCAAGTTTGATATCTATGTCTATCATTTTCATTCGTTCCCCTGGATTGTACCCAAGATTTTATGGTTACCTATTAGGCCTTAGGTTCACCCCTATTGTTTCTGAATCCACTCACAGGTCATACAACTGGCAAGGATAAGGGCATTGCAGACCCTGAATTTGAAGATTAGCTCCAGAGGAAAATCTTAGTAGGGGTTAATTTATGTTCACTTTTGTAGTACCTTTGACTTATAAAACATGTATTAATGTTGTAGCCAAAAAATAAATAAAAAACTAAATAGAATAAAATGGGATATGGTTGGAATATTTGATTTGTTTTAACAAACTTTAAGGGCAAACTGGGGGGCTCCGTATCTAAACTGTTGCGCCACTCATGGCGCAACACTGTAGTGGCGCTTTAAAATAGCGCTAACCTTGCCACTCAGTTGGAGGAAGTTTTGGCAAAAGATTTGCGTCAATTTGGGTTTTTGACTGGGTTGGAGATGCTCTAAAGGAACAAGTAGCTACACCTCATCGTTCAAACAGAACAAATCCAAAAATCCAGATTACCGGAAAATAAATACTCTTTGAACATCACCACCTGCATTGCATGACGGCAACTGGGAATCTTGAGGCAGAAATTGATACCATTTGATAGCAATAAGAACTCACCCAAGTCCCCCAAAGCACAAATTTTTCTATTCTACAAAATACCAAATCCTAAGAAAGCATTTAAACAATAAAAAATTAAGTAACCAGCATCAAACTGCAAAGCAAAACCTCAGTTATCCAAACAAGAAATTGAGCCAAGAGGGTAACCTAATCACATTTACCATGTCCAGAAGTACAAATTACAAGAAAATAAATACCATTGCGGAAGTCTCAAAGATCCCACAACCCTAGCTCCTCTGAATCCCCATCATCTACTTGTTCTCGGACGAGTTGGGCCCCCTCTTCTTGCCGAAGCCGACGACGGCGGTGACGAAGCGGCGGTTGTACTGCATCCTCTTGTGGGCCCTACCCCTCGGCTTCTTCTTCTTGTCCTGCTTCGCTACCTTCGGGGTCTGACCCCTGACTTTTCCCGCGCGAGCCAGCGATCCGTGGACTTTCCCTGCAGAGATCGAAGAGGGAGAAGGCGAGGTCAGAGAAAACCCTAGGGTTAGAACGAACAAAGGGAAGAAAACCCTAGATCCAGGACTTACCCATGGCTGCTGCTTCTACGGTTTCGGTAGAGGAAGAGCTTCGATGCTGGAGGCTCCGGCTTGGGGGGTAAACAAAACCCTAATTTCTCTCTAGCTTATATATACTAGTTTGGGCTTTATGCATATGAGTAACCGAGAAAATTTTATTTTAGCAGATATAGTGTTTTAGAGATGAAGTTGGGAATAAATTGCAGAAATGTCCCAGGTACTTTCAATAATCGGCAATAATCCACTTGTAAACTAACTTGAAGGACATGTTTCCGCAATGTGTAGACATTTTTGGAGCTGGAAAATTGAGGCAGTAATGTGTGACTTGAAGACCCACCGTTATTTTTGCAACGTTTGCTTTCCTCGAACAGAAACAATAGTAGAATTGTTTATTTATTTTGTATCTATTTCATAATAAAAAAAAACTTGTATGATTGTATTCACTATATGCTATGTTTGGAAATATAAATAATTCTCTAATTTTAATGTATAAATTATTATTTTAAAATTCATAACAATTTTGCTTACACGGGACTCCGTAATATACCAAAAAACACATCCTATGAGTAAAAAAAATTGTAAGAGTTAGAAGTAATTTTAGATTAATTTACATAAAAAATGATCCACATTATTTTTAGAGTTAAGTAGACTACAAAACTTGTACTTTTGTAGGGTAATTATATAATTATATAATTATTATTATGGAAACTTCATTGAAGTTTGGTCACTTATTACAAAATCACCTAACATTATCTTTTCAGTGCAAAACTTTCTAAATCGTTAAAAACCATTTATATTTCAAAACCATCATGTCTTCATCTTAACATATTTCTCCTCTGTCAAAGGCAAATATATGTTAGGAACCGAAAGTTATTCTAAATAGAGTCTATAAAATCAAATAATTTAGATTATATTGATTTTTTACTAATTTTCTCTTTATTATAGCCGTATGTATTTGAATTTAAGAGAGGAAAATAGGTATTGTAATATTTTGTGAAAGAAGATAATCGCTATTAAGAGGTATTATAGAGAAAAAGAAAAATAATGACTTTTAATAGTTTATTTAACTACAAGGGCATTGTAATGAAAAATTGAAATAAGAGTATTGTAATCTCGTTGTTGTATGTGTTGTAATCTCGTTGTTGTATCTACATACATCACATATCAAAAGTAAGAATCAAACATGAAATGTAAATGTAAATAAACAAGAGAAGAAATAGGGAGAAAAGTAATTCTTATTTTATTCATCTTCCTCATTCCTCTATACATTTTGTCTTCCATGGATTACATTATATAGATGTGGAAGAGAATACTAAAAGTCACAAGTAGGTGAAAAGTCTTCTTCTAGTAATGTCCACATTCATTGTATTTATATTTACAACACTCCCCCTTGGACATTACTACATGATGTCAATGCCTCGTTAAATTACAACACTCCCCCTTGGACATTACTACATGATGTCAATGCCTCGTTAAAAACCTCGCTAGAAAAACCCGGTGGGATAAAAACTAATCGAGGAAAAAGAGTACACGACATTAGTAGATTCTTGTTGCATTAGTTGCCTCATTAAAAACCTTTAACTAAGAAAACCATGTGGGACAAAACTTAGCAAAGGGAAAAAGAGTACAACTATAGATCTTCGGGATCCAAACTTGTGTTGCATTAGTTGCCTCATTAGCAAAAAGGAAAAAAGAGTACAACTATAGTCCTTCAAGGTACAATCTTCGGGATTGCGTTGAAAATTCGCTCCCCCTGATGATGACAATCTTCTGAGTCTATGCTAAGAAAAACCCAGTGGGACAAAACTTAGCGAAAAATGGGCAAATTATGATAATAGACCTTCAGGGCCCAATCTTCAGGATTGTTCTTTAAGAATTTTCTCCCCCTGAAGAAGATAGTCTTTCAAGTCTATGCATATTGTGAACATATTTCTCATAAGTTGATGTAGGCAGAGATTTAGTGAACAAATCTGCAAGATTGTCACTTGAGCGAACTTTTTCGATGGTGATTTCGCCATTCTTTTGGAGCTCATGTGGATAAAAGAATTTTGGCGTAATATGTTTTGTCATGGTTCCTTTTACATATCCACTGCTTATTTGTGCAACACAAGCTGCATTGTCCTCATAAAGGACAGTGGAGGGAATATCATCTTTCGCTAGACCATACGAGCCACAAATATGACGTATCAACGATCTTAATCATACACATTCTCGTGAGGCCTTATATAAAGCAATAATCTTTGAGTGGTTAGAAAAAGTAGTCACCATGTTCTGCTTAACAGACCTCTAAGAAACGACAGTACCACCACAGAGAAAAACATAACCAGTCTGGGATCTGGCGTTATGGGGATCAGACATGTAGCCAGCGTCCTAATAGCCCACCAATGTCATATCTTGGTTTCTTTTATAGAATAGTCCAAGATCTTTTGTACCTTGAAGATAGCGAAGGAAATGTTTAACGACATTCCATTGCCTCCTTGTAGGATAAGCACTATACCTTGCTAGCAAGTTCACCGCAAATGCAATATCAGGCCTGGTGCAATTTGCGAAATAAAGAAGTGCTCCAATGGTGCTCAGATAGGGAACTTCTGACCCTAACATTTCTTCATTATCTTCTTTGGGTCTAAATGGGTCTTTATCCACTTCGAGGGACCGGACGACCATTGGTGTGCTAAGTGGATGAGATTTATCCATATAAAATCTTTCCAAAAACCTTTTTCATCACATAGGCTGGTGTAGAAAAAATTCCTTCTGGGAAATACTTGATCTGCAGGCCGAGACAAAACTTGGTTTTTCCCAAGTCTTTCATTTCAAACTCCGTCTTTAGGCATGAGCTAGCTTCTGTAAGCTCCTTGTGCATTCCAATAACATTTATATCATCAATATAGACTGATATAATACAAAAGCTATTTATAAACACACAAGGGCAAACATCATTATTTGCATATCTCCTCTTCAGGAGGAACTCACTCAGTCGGTTATACCATATTCTACCCGACTGTTTCAAGTCGTATAACGACCTTTATAATTTAATGCTATACATGTTGCGATTCTTGTTTTCTCTTAATTCAGAAATTGTAAGTCCATCAGTGACTTTCATATAAAAATATTAGCGTCTAATGACTCATATAAAAATGTGGTCATGACGTACATATACTGCATATATAAATTCATAGTTTCTGCCATATGTATTAACTTGCGGAACGTAATACAATCACTAATAGGAGAATATTTTACATCTAAATCGATGTCGGGTCTCTGCGTGAACCCATTGAGCTATGAATCTCACTTTATATCTCACCACCTTACAATTCTCATTTATTTTTCTTACGAAGACCCATTTATACCCTGCAGGGATATATGAACTACAGGTTCAAAAATACTTTAGCGAAGTTCAGCTCAGCCTCAATTGCCACTTTCCATCTCACCTAGTCCGAGTGCTTCAAGCACTCTACTACCGACTTAGGTTCTGGATCCAGATTATTTTCGGAGATAGTAAGAGCAAATGTAGAGGCAACTATGTTTTCGACAACTTTTATATTTCTATTATATATTTCTCCTTTTTCACAAATTCGTGGCCACTTTAATTCTTATTTTATGTTAACCAAATCCTCGCCATTTCCCTTAACGTTTGGATTTGGCCGTTCCGCATCTCCAGTATTGTGATTATCTAGTGCACGTGCAATTTACTGGAGATTCCATCTTCAGGATGAACCTCTTCTGGAGGTTATGGGAGTGACTGTCTTTCTATATATATAATTTAGTTTGCCGCGGACTTTTATCTTTTACACTAACATGTTTTATATGCTTCTGGCATACCAAATCATCAATGATATATTCAACATGAATATGGGGCTTAGTCACTCTTTTCTTAGCAGATTATCATGTGAACTTCTGGTTCAGTTCGACTAGTACGTGGATATAAATATTGAAGATCTTTTTCACCAATAGAATTTCTTGACATTATTTTGTATTTTGGGTACTAATCTCTCCCTAATGTCGAGAATTGATCTTCAATAAAAATGCAGTCAGCGTACCAAATTATAAATTGATCCCCTAACATGGGCCATAGGTACTAAATTATTAACGGAGTTTCATAAATAATGTATGTACCTTCACCGAGGTCCCATAGAGGTACGCTATGGTGGTGATATAGAAACTTGGACTGCAAATAAATAATACGCAGATGAGAAATGTTTCACTTCTACACCACGTATTAGATAAAGGGGGGAAATTGTGATATGTAGTTGGTCGGATTTGGTTTGAATGCCCCATTTAATTTAAGGAAATCCGACAAATCATATTTTGCCCAAGATGACCCAATCGCTCATGCCAGAATTTAAAAGAATTTGGCTCCCTAAATCTCAAACTTATCGCAACATATTGTATTTTAGGTCAGACAAATTCTAAAATATACACATATGAATAAAAAACACATAGGTTCACAAGAGTTTAAAGCAAAATCAAGATAAATTAAAATTGTCTGACAAATGTATATAATCCAAATATAAAGAAACCAAATAGTTCGAAAAGATCCATTATCTTCCCCTCGTCCAAGCTTATGAATATTAGTTTGAATTATGACATGTGCTTCAGGCACTACGACTGAACCAATTAAACTTGCATTATGGTTTCTCACAATAGCTGGTTGTGTTTTTAACAACTACTAATGCAAGGATTAGTTCATAATTCTTAATATAATTTCTAGTTGTACTATTGTAAGAGTACAAGGTTACTTGTTGAATTGTATTCAGTCGAGGATTTAAAATCCAAAAATGGCTACAAGATAAGATCTCCTGCTATGTTCATAGCCTCCCCCTTGTCCACGCGTATAAGTAATTTTCTGAATTGTAGCATGTGCTACAAACACAACTCGTAAGCCAACTAGTCTGACATTATGATTTCTAATCATCAATTGATTGTGCTTCTCTGCGACTACTAATCAATTCAGAATGCTCAGTGCAATTCTTGGTCATGTACTGCTGCTGGAGTACAATATTACTTGCGTGGAGTAGGGAAAAGAATTTTTTTTCGATCAATTTTATCATTGTCTGTAATGTTCTGCTTACAGAGTTTCAGCTGCTAGATAATTTGGTACAGAGCTGAATCATATTTAGTCATGTATTTGAAATCCAAAAAGTTCTGATTCAGTCTGCCAGTTACGTTTGAGGGAAGATTATTGGTTTTCATAGATCAAAGTGATACTTCAGGGATTGCCCAGAAAAGTGAATACTTTTTCACGTCTTAGAAAATTTAAAGTGTTTGCCTTCTGGGCAAATATACTTAAAGAATCAAGAGATATAATCGTGCAAAAATCATAGGTGTGTCCAGTAAAAAATGAAGGCAAATATACTTAAAGAATCAAGAGATATAATCGTGCAAAAATCATAGGTGTGTCCAGTAAAAAATGAAAGTTCGATGCCAAAGATAAGTAATAATTACTATCATATATCACAGTACACTAATCATAGGGGCGAAAGATTAGTGCATGAAAAAATAGAAATATTCACATTTTAATAAGATCACACATAATCACCAAAAGCAGCAAGCTCCTTTTTCTAAAGATTTTCATAAAAGTTATCTTTCAAATGTTTGCTTCTGGCAAACTAGCATGATGTTTCTCACCTTGTTTTGCCTTCCATATGAGTCAAATTTAACAGTAACACAATACATGCATATGTCGAGGATGTATGATATTGATACAATACTAATAATAAATTTGTCACAGAAGATGATGAAAGTGTCAGAATCCCTAATCAATGATTTAAAAAATTAATAAGCATACATGAATATACACAAAACAGCATCCGTAATTGTCATGTGAAAATAATAGCCATACTTGTCATATGGAAATAATAGGTACTGCCACAATGCAAATGTTTATAAGTCATATGATTCATCGTCCTCATCTCCAATTATTCACATACCTTATGGTGAAGGGAGAATAAATGAAACACAGATGAATTTGCAACTGCAAACAAAAGATGCCTCTATTCACAAATCACAACTAATCAGTTCTACTACTGGTTGACATTAGAAGATAAGATGTTTAAATAGATCAAATACATCTTTTTCGAACATACTATCACCACCATCCACAAAGCCATATGGATATCAAAATATAAACAGTTTGAACTGTCAGATTACTCCAAGTCTCCAAAGATCTTACATCATGATAATGGGCTTGAGAGTAGTTGTTTAAATGAATCGATCTATCTTTCTTTTCATGGAAGATAAGATGAGTCCTGCTGGTATATGAAATATAATAAAACAAAAAGACATATAGAAAACTTAAGCTTCAGAGAAGACATGAGCTAGCAATTTCATATTAGTTTCAGAAGGGAATCTTAGTGATCATTTTCTCCAATCCAAAGAAACATCATTAAAACAAGGCTAGAACAAAACAGTAATCCAAAAAAGGAAACATAATCTGAGCAGCAGGGGCAAACTGCACATGGTTTGTGTTGACTAGCCTCTGCAGCTAGCTAGAGGAAGGCACAAGAAGAAATTGTTACCTGCGCCGACAACTCTAGATACAGGAGCCACATAAGCCAGCCAATGATCACGAACCGGCTAGAGCCACTCGTGCTGATAACGTATTGTAATCTCGTTGTTGTATGTGTTGTAATCTTATTGTTGTATCTACATACATCACATATCAAAAGTAAGAATCAAACATGAAATGTAAATGTAAATAAACAAGAGAAGAAATAGAGAGAAAAGTAATTCTTATTTTATTCATCTTCCTCATTCCTCTATACATTTTGTCTTCCATGGATTACATTATAAAGACGTGGAAGAGAATACTAAAAGTCACAAGTAGGTGAAGAGTCTTCTTCTAGTAATGTCCACATTCATTGTATCACAAGTAGGTGAAGAGTCTTCTTCTAGTAATGTCCACATTCATTGTATTTATATTTACAACAGTTTTGTAATAATTTATCAAACTTGAACGGATATCATAATAATCATTCTATTTTGTATGACAAAAACCTATGGTTTGAGATCTTATTTTTCTTTGTGAATTTCCATCATTTTTAATATGAATATGAATCAAGAGGTATTAAAAAGTTTCGTTTGTCATTTCAGTTGTAAGACCATCTCCAACCACCCTCCATATATCCAAAATCTCTAATTTTTGGAGAGTGGAACCTCTCCAACCACTCTTCAAATTTGGAGATCTCCAAATTTGACCCTCCAAATTTGCAGGGTAAGGAGAAAAAATGGAGGGTCTCTCCATAACACTATTCACGGTTTATTAATTACAATTTTATCATTTTTAACTATTTGATTTCTTAAAAATTACCACTTTGCCATCCTTTTAGTAATTTAAATTAGATGTTTAATTTCAAATAAATATAGTTAAAAAATTATTAATCTAATATTTGAAATCATTATATATTTGGAAAGGGCTCGTTGAGATCTTTAAAATGAAACTAAGATTAATTTATTTTAGTATTATTATAAAATTATTAATTTTTAAATTAAATAAATAAGTATCAGACATAAAATTTTAAATACGGGGATCTATTTAACTTACTCCATAAGAAAATATAAGCATAAATTACAATATTTATCTCTTCAGGTCTTGAAATTTCGTCATGAACAATAATCTCTGGTTCTGCATCGCGTTCATCCTCCACGATCATGTTATGTAGTATAATACAAGCAGTCATTATGTCGTATAGTCTCCGCTTGTCCCAAAAATGTGATGGTCCCTTGATAATGGCAAATCGTGACCGAAGAACACCAAAAGCACGCTCTACATCTTTTTGATATCCTTCTTGCATAGCTGGTTCTGTAGGAGCTATAGGAGGACAAAACGAATATGAATTTCCCACTGGAAATCAAGGAGGACTTTCTCAATTTGCGGAAGAAGCTGGTTCTGTAGGAAGAAATGAATATGGTGGTTCTTCGAGAGATCGGGATGGACCTGGTAGTTATAACGATAATGACCTGCCAGAATTTTAATTGTCTCTTATCATATTTTATGTTTGAGGTTTAACCTGCCAGAATTTTAATTGTCTCTTATCATATTTTATGTTTGAGGTTTATGTTTGCGACCTATGATATGTTGTATTAGAGGTTAATATTTGCTTTATTTTAATTGTCTCTTATCATATTTTATGTTTGAGGTTTATGTTTGCGACCTATGATATGTTGTATTAGAGGTTAATATTTGCTTTCTTGTTCTATCGATGTATGCTTTCACTGCTATTTCAGAATTTCTTTTTTTTATATGTTGTATTGTAGTATTAATATTGGGTTCATTTTAAAGCTCTCATAGACACCTTTATAATGTTATAATTTTTTTTCCCAAATAAATTATTAACAATAAAATTATTAACGTAAACTATATCCAACATTATTTAATTTATATGGCTTTTTTGACAAAAAAAAGAAAAATATTTAGAGAGTGTGAGTTGGAGTAACCCTCCAAATTTCACCATCTAAATTAGAATATTCCTAGAATATTTTAATTTGGAGGGTGAAATTTGGAGGGTATGGTTGGAGATGCCCTAACACAAGAGCAGCTGCACCTGCACAGAAAACGCTTCAAAATTCGAATTAAGCATTATTCTTGTTTTTACAGTACTTTTATAATTTCTAAATTGTCTTACATGCAAAACATTTTCCATAATCATGTTGTAAATGACAAATCCACCCTAACAAATTCACAAAATCCGGAAAACCCCCCAACTTTATCCCTTCGCTCCCCCCTCTTTCCCCCTCGCATTTTCACTCCCAACCAAACTCAACTATGGCGGCTGCCACCGGCCTTCCCAGGCTGGCCGCCGTCCGCCAGCCTCTCCTACCCCTCCCCTCCTCCGTCGCGGTACGCTGCTCCGCGTCCTCTCGCCTTGACCCCTGCTTATACCTCCTCGTCCCGCGCCCTCCGGAATCCGAAACCCCCTAAACCGAACTCTCGTCGTCGTTCTTCCCGAAACGGGGGCAGACGGTTGAGCTCGTTTGCGAGTCGCTGGCGTTTAAAGGGAAGGGCGTGTGCAGGGTCGCTGACACTGGGTTCGTCGTCATGTGCGATCGAGCTCTCCCCGGCGAGCGATTCCTCGGCCGCGTCTCTCGCAAGAAGGGGAATTACGCCGAGGTTAGTAGACGTGCTACTGCTTTTTTTACTTCGTCGTTAATTCATTTGGGTTTCCATGAATTACGAGAATTTTTGACCCTGTTTGTTCTAGTAAGTTTAGTTTTTACGTCGACCTCGTTAAGGAATTTACCGGTGTGGTGTGGATTCTTGCTTCGTTTTCTAGAGGCCTGGGCTGTTCGCTTCGCTGCAAATACGCTTGTGAATGCATTTGCCGTAATTGATGTCGTACGAAGCTGCAGCTGCAGTTGCTTGGTTCAGTTTTGAAATTCCACGATTCGTAGTTGTAATTGTAGCCATAGTTGGAGGCGTTTGTTTTAGGATATCATTCTTTTTTTTGGGGGGGTTGGTTGCGATTGGAGTTGCAACTGAAACCTCATATGTGGTTGAAAAAAATTGCAAGTCTAAGTTACATCCAAATCTACATAAGGGCCCGTTCGGATGACGGGAAGTATTAGAAGCAAAAAGTAGCTTAAAGCTTCTAAAATTGTGAAGTAGGAAGTAGTGGAAGTAGTACTTTTTTTTGTTTGTTGCATATATTGTTAGGAAGTAACTAATTAGAAGATGTAGATGTTACATACACCATGGTGAAATTACCTCTCTTTCTTACTCATTAACAATATATTAATAATCATTTTCATAAACTACTAAAAAAATACAATGGTGTGTCTGAGGTCCAATAATTAGAAGTTGCGGAGTCTGCTAACTATTAGCAGGCTCTAGTAGCTTTTGTCGAATTCATTTAAACGAAGCATCAGCTCTGCTCGGTTATTACTTTGATGTAGCATTGAGGATAAACCTTTGAACTCAATTCCAATTCTTTTGCTTAGCTCAAATATAACATGGAGGAAGCCATTGCTAACAGATGACAGATGAACAATGACATATAACATATGAAAGCAATATAAACAAGGAGGGAGATAATGTTCATAAATACGTACACACGGAAACAAAGGATAAACGCAATAGCGTATCGCTTCGATATATTGATTGCTTCTAAGAAAATCGCTCTTTGTGATTCTCATTGAAAGCCCAATTTCAGGTGGACCCCACTAATCACCTAGTTCCACTCTATTTCCAAGCGATGAAGGGGAAAACCATTTAGGAAATAGAGGTGCCACGTAGGCGCCACATCAACACTTAAAAGTAGCAAAAGTAGTTTTTCCGGAGAAACAAACATTGTTTTCTGCTTGGAAGTAACTGCATTCACAATTGCATCTATTAGTTACAATGAAGCAAATAGGTACCGGCTGGTGCAAAGTATCCTAGTTGCAATATTTGCAGTTGTAGTGACTCAAACAAGCTTGGAGGACTCACTTATTGAACAATCTAACCTAAGTCTCTCCAAATGGACATGAAACTCTCCATGTAGGCATTGTAAAATTAAATTCATTCCAACATACACCATATTTCCAGTGCCCGTGCGAGCTGCAATATCAGCTACACATTCTTGGCTTTGCACTAGCACCAGTTCCAAGCGAACACTGTAATGTTGACACAATCATCTATTGCTTGATTACGATTGGGGATCACAAGACTAGTTCAAATACCATTATTTTGGAGATCTAGGAGATTTCGTTCCAAAAATCTGGCTGTTAATCTACAATTTTCTAGACATACATAAACCACTTATAATAAGTGAAGCCATAGATGGATCCTAACATAATTCCTTTCTTGTTTGAGGCCGTTTCCCCCTCAAAATGTGGTTCTTTAATGGACTGTTGTTTCAGTGCCAATGAAACTTACGTGCTCATATTTTGATAACCTAACAGTTGACTTGTACCAAAGATCTGAATGAATCAGAAACTAACAGGCCAAAGATCTGAATGAATCAGAAACTAACAGGCCAATGCTATGGAACATCCTCCAACTGTTAACTCTGTCTCATTAGCAATCATCATCAGAAGGTCCTAGCTTTTATTGGGTTGCATATAGCTACTCAGCAGACAATACATTCACTTAATAGCGGCATTTTATAGAAAATTAAATTTGTTAACTTGTATCTGTCAGGTCGACACTCATTAATCAAGAATAGCTTTATCCAAGGAGTGTATTCTCTCTACGAGAGGCATAATAATCTGTTTCTTTGTTTTGATACTGAGTGAGAAGCAACCTTTCACTTTCGTAGTGTTGGTACAAAGCATAGTTTGTTGACTTGTTGACTTATAATACCATATTTCTTCCTTCATCTTGTTTAGTTACTGATCCCGCAACTTGTGTTAAATATAAAATGCAGTTGGTATATGGTAATATTTGGGTGATATTTCAACCGACCTATCCAAATATGTTAGCTAATTTTGGAAACATGTTAATTAGTAAAGTTAGTTATTGTAGTTGTTCGTCGTAGTATAAGTATTCTATGATCTTGGCTAGCATTAATAAAAAGTTTGGTCCACTTTGATCTCGACTGTGGGCTGAAACGATATCACGTTGCAAGTGAACTTTAATATCAAGTTCACTCCATAGCAGTAATCTCTCTGTTGTTGTGTGTGGGCAAGCATGCGTGTGCATTGGGGTGGGGGGTGGGCCTGGGCTGTGGGCGTGTGGGTGGGTGAGTGTCAGCTATCAGGGGGGCTGTGTACGCGCCCTCATTATGCATATTGGTTTCTGCTTAATATATTCATATATTATTGAAGGTGACAAAGTTGAAGACAATAACTCCACATCATGACTCTGTAGAAGCACCTTGTGAATATGCTTCAGATTGTGGAGGCTGCAAGACACAAAATCTTTCATATGAGGCACAGGTGAGAGCCAAGGAGCAGCAAGTCCATGATTTGATTGTACATGTTGGAAGGTTTTCAATCAAAGGTACTACCATTTTGAAGCCCATTGTACCGTGTGATATTCAATTCCACTATCGGAACAAGGTCTGTATTCCTGTTTCCTTTGGGCTATTCATCTCTTTATTGTATTGTTTAAGTTGCTGTTTTTAATTTCTTTATTTGTAGATGGAATTTTCATTCGGTGCTCAATGCTGGGTACCGAGAGATGTTGCTATGGTAGAGCAAGCTCTTGCTGAGAAGGGTTGCTCATTGGGGTTGCATGCCCCTGGATTTTTTGATAAGGTCCTCCATGTGAATAAATGCTTATTACAAAGTGAAGCTGCTAATAAGGTATTATGTTTGGTTATCTTTTCAAAGATTAAACCCCTTCTTTTTAGCTTAGGTTGTTTAAGTTTGGAAAATTTTATGATTGTTCTTATATTGATGATGTGTTCTCTTGCTGTGAGCTCTTAGAGATGAGACACTTAACCTACAAGAATAGTAAATGCTCTTGAATATCTAGTAGGCCTTTTACTCTTTGACCTGTATTCATTGCTATTCCACTGGATTGTATTGACATGGAAGGAGGAAAAGTTTATTATTATTATCATTATTTCCTTGTGAGGGTGTTGTAGAGGTTTCCTTCTTTTTTTTCCTTTTGCTTTTTTCGTTGCGGAGAGTTTGGGTGTCTCAGTGTGCCTTTGGGGCATGGAGGAGGGATGGTGTTTCAAACTTTCTTGGATAGTGGGCCACCCCGTGCCACTTATACCAATTTCTATTTTGTTTAGTCTTCTCTTTGCTTACAGCGAAGATAGCATAACATGCTCCATTTGATGAATATTACTATTGAGGTGATAGAACAAAAGGAGGGAAATAAAAGAGGAAATGAACAAGTAGAGGGCTTAGCCTTTGGCTAATCCCTAACAAGGAACTTTCTTGTAGAAGATATTATGATATTTTTGTCAAAAAATTTGGATTTCTAGGCACATGAAGTGGTGATAGTTCTTCAGTTACCCATAATCTGATTCAACACGGAGATTTTTCCATTTCTTTTGTGCTATTTTTGCATTCACTTGAGCAGATAAGCTTCACGGCTGTTCCCATTCTTCACTAGTGGTTTCTTTTAAATTTAGAATATCTATTCAATTAGTTAATTATTGCTAATCTTATAGGTTCTTGCAGTTGTTCAAGATAGTTGGCAAGATCCAGATTTAGGCCTTACTCCCTACAATTGCCGATCTCATGTTGGATTTCTTAAACATCTGATGCTGAGAACTGGAAGGTACAGATTCCTTTGGGAACATGTTCCACTGTTCCCTTTGTATTCTCTGTACATCTATTAATTTGTTGAGTTCTGAGTCATTAAATTTCATTAACTTGAGAGATTAGCTTATCTACTTAGCAATTCCCATTTTACTCATTTCAACTTTGTTTGCAACTTGTACGTTGCTTTAGCTAGAAATTTTTGACATTTTCTTGGCTCATTCTTGGTAGCACTAAATTCATCTATAGCTGGTTTCACTTCATCCTAGACTGATGTCATTCTTGAACTCTATATGTTTTCCATATTGAATTATTCTAACACCTTTGCAGATTTTCTAGTGTTGTATGTGATTGTTAGGCTGAAAACTTTTGCTTTTTATAATTAGAAAATGACTGTGGAGGAACATATAGATAGTTTAAGCCAAGAATGAAATCAATTAAAGCAAACAAATATATTTCCTGTGGTACATTTTAGAATCCAATGTGTACTAATCTGAAAAGCAGGAAATTCAGCGAGATCTTTCTTTTTTTTTAAACTTTTCTCATGGTTATATATGAAAATGTAAAACATATTGTTACTTGTTGAAAATCAAGTAGAGTCAATAAGTACTTTTATGTAGGCTCTTCTCATTTCCCATATATTTTGGGCAAGAAGTTAAAATATCCATTACTCATTGAAGTCTTCATGTATTTACATCAAATAAGTATCTTCGTTCAAAGTGATACTGGTAACTAAAAATATGCTAAAAAATTATTTAGAAAATACTTTGACTTGGTGGTTGTTTTATATTGCATTGAGATAAAAGATTGCTTATTTAAGCAGGAAAAAAAAGTAACATTGAGAAAAGGAGCTAATTTTGATGCTTTTCTGTCACTACTGTGTAAAACATAGTCGCATGAAATTTTAGTGGCCAATATTATTATTATTATTTTCCCTAGCACATAAGATGATTACATTCTGAGTTTTTAATATGGAAAAATCCTGAATCACGTAAACCCTCAGAATTAAGTACATTTTCAAAACAGTCAGCTAAGGAGGAATAAGAAATATGTGATGAAGTCGCGTGTTTCTGTGGCCACTGAAGAAGTGAGAGATCTTCCAGCTTTGCTATTGAGTATGATACAATAAAACAAACTCTTCAAGCTTTTCTTATTGAAAATAGTAAAGGCTGCAGTTATATAGAAGGGTTGCAGTTGTATAGATATAAAAATTCAAGCTTTTCTGTAGATTTTGACAAAGAAAGTGCCATGAGAAATCTCCAGATAGCCACCTCAGAATAGCTCCATGTGAACTTTGACACCCTGGGCAACTGACTGTGACTTCCCAAAGGAATAAATAGCTAATTTCCTTGTTCTCTCTGCCTCACATAGTACAATCCTTCAAACTTTTGATAGACTTTGACGCAAAAAATACCATGAGAAATCATCAAAAGGGCCACCCCCATAAAACTCCATTTCGAAAGTTTACAGAGGGAAGCCCACAATGAAACTACTCAGAGAAATCTTTATGCAGAGTGAGACAGCAATTTACACCCTCATATTTTGCCGCATGTTTGTTTGCTCCATAGAACAAGGACGATGGATCGAACTAACCATTATTTCTTGGAAACAAAGAAGTGATTGACGAGCATTGAAATTGTTGGGGTAATTAATTGTTCGGGATCACCATGCAATTTGAAACAACTTTTTTTTACAATGACTTCTCTTCATACTGTTAAAAACTTGAGACAGATCATTTATATTCATTATTATTATTATTGTTTATATTTTTGACTTTGCATATGAAAAAACAAAGTTCGCCTAACTTTAGTATTCCAACTACCCCTTCACTATTCCACCAACCCCAAAAAGTACTATTCCACTAATCCTTGAAGGCTATAAATAGAGGGTAGTGGTGAAGAGTTTAAGTGCGATCGGGACAGTGAGAGTTAGAGATCCTTGAAGGCTATAAATAGAGGGTAGTGGTGAAGAGTTTAAGTGCGATCGGGACAGTGAGAGTTAGAGAGAAGAGAGATAGAAAGAGAAATCTCTTTGGTGAAGAGTTTAAGTGCGATCGGGACAGTGAGAGTTAGAGAGAAGAGAGATAGAAAGAGAAATCTCTTTTTTTGTGTGATTCTCTAGTGAGGTTAGAGAGTGATCTCTCCTTTGTAATCTTTTCTTTTGTGGTTAGTGAAGTTCTCTGCTGTTCTCGCCCGTGAACATAGGTCATACTGAACGAACCATGTTAAATTCTTATGTGCTGTTCTCTTTGTCTTCATTGTGCTTATTCAGTGTTGTTATTCTCCACTCTTGTATAGACATTTTCTGTGTCTGTGAAGCCCCCGCTGCAACAACTGGTATTAGAGCCTGGTTTAGGTTTCTGTTCTAGTGAGCTTCAAGATGTCTTTTGCAAAATACAAAGTGAAGAAATTCGGTGGAAGAAACAGCTTCAGTTTGTGAAGAGTAAAAATGAGGGCTCTCCTAGTACAACAAGTTCTGTTCAAAGTCTTGTCCAGAAAGGACAAGTTATCGGAATTTATGCCCGATGGTGAGAAAGAAGAGCTGGAGATGAAGGTGCATAGTGCCATACAACTCTGTTTGGCCGATGAGATTCTGTGGGAGGTTGCCAATGAAGATACCATCGCCGGCTTGTGGCTCAAGTTAAAAAAACTTGTACACAACGAAGCCCGTACTTTCACGTAAGTTCGAGCATTGTCTCGAATTGCTTGGAGTTCAACAAAGCGAAAGTTAAGCCCGTAAGGAGCTTTTAGCAAGACAGCAAAAGTGAATAGAAGATTTTCATATTCAAAGTCAAAGTGGTGATTTATTATGTGACTTTGAATTCAACACTCAGCTAACAGTCACTGTTCCACCAAACTTACCTAATATTACTGTGCCACCAATCATTTGTTAATTTTTAATTAATATTTGAAGGTTATAAAATGAGGGTGGGGTGGGATAGAGCTTAGAGAGACAAGCAGCAAGCCAGCATTAGAGAGAAAAGAGAGAGATGGAGAAAGAGATAGAAAGAAAATTCTCTTTCTTTATGTGATTCTTTGGTTAAAAAGTGATCTCCTCTTTGTAGTATTCTCTTTCTCCCTCTCTCTTTTCTCTCTAATTCTGGCTTGGTGCCTGTCTCTCTGAGCTCTCTACTATCCCTTTTATAACCTTCAAATATTAATTAAAAATTAATAAATGGTTGGTGGCACAATAATATTAGATAGGATTGGTGGAACAATGACGATTATGTGAGTGTTGAATTCAAAATCACATAATAAATATATATTAGAAGCAAACATGAAAGAAAGGGAAGCGTCTTAGAACCGACAATGAGATGGAGTTTTTGTTTTACAGAGTTTGACCAGTTCTGCAAGAATAAATGTATTATACGACATCGTACAGTTCGACATACACCATAGCAAAATGGAGCTGCAGAAAGAATGAACATGACACTTTTAGAGAGAGCTCGGTGCATGCTCTCTAATGCCGGTTTGTCAAAAGACTTTTGGACCGAGACAGTCAATACAACTTGCTATTTGATAAACAGATCTTCTTTTATATCAATTAATTTTAAGACTCCAGAAGAGGTATGGTCTGGTGCCCCTGCTAATTACTCTCATTTAAGAGTATTCGGTTATACTTATTTTCATGTTAATGATGATAAGCTTGAACCTAGAGTAAAGAAAGCTATTTTTCTAGGATATGCTATTGGAGTAAAGGGATATAGATTGTGGTGTTCTGATCCCAAATCACCTAAGTTTATTATTAGTAGGGATATCACTTTTGATGAGAAATCTATGTTTCACCCGAGAAAAGAGTTTGTTATTGATACCATAGGTACTAAAAATGAGTCTAGCAAGAAGGTGGAGCTAGATAGCTCAACTTCAAAGAGAGTGCTTGATGGCACTCATGTTGAACCAGTTGATATTGCGAAAGGTTCAACTTCAGATGCTGATACACCGTAAGAACAACAGTATAATATTGCCACTGGAAGAAAAAAAGGCAGATATGACCTCCTCAACGCTATGCAGACATGTTTGCTTACACTTTAAGTATAGCAGAATCGATTGAGATTCCACAGCCTTCTATCTATAAGAGGCTATTAGTGACAATGAGGTTGTAAATTGGACTGTTGCGATGACTGAAGAAATAAAGTCTCTTCACAAGAACCAGACATGGGAATTAGTGAAGCCACTAAGAGGATAGAAAATCGTTGGTTGTAAATGGGTGTTTAAGAAGAAAGAAGGAATTCCAGATACAAATTCTGTAAGGTATAAGGCACGTTTGGTAGCTAAAGGCTACAGTCAGACATAAGGTGTAGACTTCAATGAAGTATTCTCTCCAGTTGTAAAACACACCTTAATCCCGGTGTTGCTTGTCATGATTGCTCATTTTAATTTGGAGCTTGAGCAACTTGATGTGAAAGACGACTTTTCCACATGGCGAGCTTGAAGAGCAGATCTTTATACATCAGCCAGAGGGTTGCATTATTGAAGGGAAAGAACATGTGTGCAGGTTGAAGAAATCTCTTTATGGGTTGAAGAAACAGTCTCCGAGACGGTGGTATTTGAGATTTGATACTTTCATGTTTGAGCATGGTTATTCTAGGAGTAAATATGATAGTTGTGTTTATCATAAAAAGCTCAATGATGGCTCTTTTGTGTATTTGCTTTTGTATGTTGATGACATGTTGATTGCAGTTAAAGATATGTCAGAAATCAACAAGTTAAAATTTTAACTCAAACATGAGTTTGAGATGAAGGACTTGGGAGTGGTGAAGAAGATTTTGAGGATGAAGATCCATAGAAACATACGAGAATGAAGTTTATTTCTATCTCAGGATAAATACATCAAGAAGGTGTTGGAGAGATTTGACATGCTTGATGCTAAGCCTGTGAAAACTTCACTTGCTGCTTATTTTCGTCTTTCAGTAGATTTGTCACCTCAAACTGAGGAGCAGTACATGCCTTGTGTTTCTTATGCGAGTGCAGTTGGAAACATTATGTATACTATGGTCTGTATTTGTTCAGATATTTTACA